TTTGACAGCCTGCACAAAGAAGCATGTTAATGCATGTCACATTCCACTAACACAATCATTTTATCTCTTAATATTTTTCAAAAAAAGGACAACATACATTTATTTGACTTTTTAACCCATTTGCCCCTTTTAAAACAAAAAAATTAACAAGTCTATGTTTTACCGTTGACTGGATGATGAATCGATTACATAAACCATGTAATCCATTACATGAGCTCAAACTTACCATAAAACTTCGGGAGACCATAACTTTTGGCTTGGGAGTCCGAATCAGGTATTTTTTTTATTCCACGTAACTTTTTAATATCTACGACTGGTACATTCCTAGAGGATTATTTTTTAGTGTTGGAAAGTAAAAATTTAAATAACATCTTTCACAAAAATAAAATATGCCAAACGGGGCACAATAAAGCATTTTTTGGGATATATTTTTGACCAAATATTCTATGGTAATAAAAAAACATGTGAACAAAGAACGTAGATCGGAACCCGAGTCAAAAGTTATGACCTTCCGAAGTTTTACGATAAAATACTCAAAAGATAAAAAAAAAGTGCGTAGATCTCAAAAAGTTAGATAAAAAAATACCTGATTCAGACACCCGAGTCAAAAGTTATGGCCTTTTAAAGTTTCACGATAAAATACTCAAATTAAAAAAAATTGGAAATTTTTTTGACCGAATCCTCTTCAATGAGATCATTGCGTAGATCTCAAAAAATTATATGGAATAAAAAATATCTCGTTCAGATACCCGAGTCAAAAGTTATGGCTTTTCGAAGTTTTACGGTCAAACTGTTGATTTTTTTGTGCCATGTGTCAATACCGGATGAGTCATACCTATGTGGAGCGCGGCTTAGCACAAGTGATGCCTATGTGAGGCGTGACCAATCATACCTACCTGGGGTACGACTGGTTATCCATAAATTAGTTTTAAAATGTTATGTTTTCGTAATTTCTTATATAAATAATAATATAAATTTTTTTCCCAATAATTGAGAAGTGTCTCTAGTTCACTCCCTGTACGGACTGGTTATAAATCTCTTCCTTGATCATCTTAAGATGGTATATGGGTGTAGTCTTGATTCCCCTCCGATTATTATTAGGGGGCTTTTGGTACCTGGATTAATTTGCATTCCCCAGGGAACCATGGTTAGACAAATAATAAACCCATGTTTGGTACCCAAAAATAAAAAACAATCAAGACTAAAAACATTTCCCGGCAAACCATGTTGTGTGCAATCTTTTGTGCGGTCTGCACTTAAGAAGTTCCATAGATTAGATGGAACTTTTTCTTGCCCGAGAAAGTGGAAATTCAGGCACAAAATTGTTGACGAAATTAACCTTCACTTTCGTACGATCTGTGTGAAAGCATTTGCAAGCTTTGCGTACACTTGACAGCATATTGTAACAAGATAGGTTTATTATTTTCAGTCTCAAAAAATGGCTGAAGTCTATCTTGTGTGAATTTTCAGGATCCCACTCAGTTCCCTTCAGTTTTCCACGCAAGGTCAACAAAGCTCTACTCCAAGACGAAGCCATAACAAGCTGCCTCTCTAACTGCACATTAGCAAGGTTGTCAAGTTCTTCCAACTCATTTATTCGTTTCCTTTCGGCCTCCTTCAGTTTCTGCACACACTCATCAAAAAATTTCTCATGAATTTACAAGTTCCAAATGCAATAAGAGCTTGCATCATCATGACAGGACTTGCAGGTTTGAAAAAAGAAACATTGCATTGCCTCAACACATTGAAATATGGTACACATGAAAAATTAAAAAAAAAAAAAAAAAACCGATTCTCATTTTCCAGAATTTCATTGAGTTCTTCTTTTTTGACGCGAACCTCGAATATTTCACTTGATAGCATGTTGACGAAACTGAAAACGTAAAGCTGGGGTTATTTTGGTAAAATAACCTCAGATTCTCACTAATATTTTGTTGTGCAAATTGCAATCAATTAAATCAATCACACAAATAAGCAAGTGCACGTGTCACAAGTAATAAAGGGATGTGTGAGTCCAAGTATCGTTCCCACGGAGATGAGTTATAAAGCAATGATTATTTAAGTAAAGAAAGTAGATAAAAGATTGATTTTTGATGGTTGGGTTTATAGAATAAAAGACAATTGAAATTAAGAAAACAGTAAACTAAAATAATACGTATTAAGTTGATGGATGAGATATAGGTCAGGATCAATTTCCCTGATACAGCAAGACTGAAACGATGCTTTAACAATGCTATATCAATGTTTAACTAGTAACCGAACACTAAAGTATGCTGGGGCTTTTGGCCAACCTAACATATATATCCAATAACTAATTCCCACATCTCTATGACCAAACCAATCACTGAATTGTTCAAGTTCAAGTTCAAGGCTATGTGGTGTGAATGATCTCTCTACCCACAACTTAATCAAGTTAATTTTCTTAACCTAATTAATCCACACAATTCAAGAAGGGTCTGGATTCGGAAACCTCTCGGCCCCAACCTCCTCAATATCACATATGTATCTCTCGACATGCACACATGAATAAGATTAAGCAAACTCGTTGAATAACTAATTAAACATTAACATAAACAAAGTTTAGGCATACATCTTAATGTTACAGCATAGGTAAGACTTTATCACCTAACCTATAGAGCAAATTAGCTCATAATGGAATTAAATTAAACAGAGAAAAGAAAGAACTCATTGGAAAATAGAAAAGAAGATGAAAACGAATGTTGTAGGAAAACATCGTGACTGCCTTGCTCCAGCACTGCTCCAACAGCTTTTCCCCCTCCAAGGACCTTACTTTCTATCTCTAAAATGTGGGAGGGGTACTACATTCTTCCCCTCCCTTCTTTCTTGCCTTTCTGACCTATCTCTCGCTTGTTGAATCCGTGGGGGAACTCCTCTTTAAATAGGAAAAGTGGTTGGATAATTCGGCTTTAGGGTTAGGAGTGAAAATCCAAGAATCTTGTTGCTGCAGCCTTATCGTATCCCTAGATTCTTGGGCTGTTGGCACTTGTTGGATAAAATCTTGATCTTCTTGGAATCCTTGTGCCAATGTTGATGTTGACCGAATAGGAGCTGAGTTTGTTGTCCTTGTTCCTTGGGATTTTCGGATTTGTTAGCACTTATTTGGATAAGATCTTTATCTTCTTGGATTTCTTGTGCCAATGTTGTTGACCAATCCAAGGTTGTTGTCCTTGTTCTTTGGGATTTTCGGATTAGATTCAATCTTTGAATTTGTCTTTGACCCTTGTGATTTCTGGATTAAATCTTCAGAAACTTCCTTTGCTTGCTGGTGTATGGTTGGAGAATAACTAACTTTTGAATTTCAAAAGTTCGGTTGTTCTTTTGTCCACGCTGTCATGTTGTAGAGCTTGATATATCATTACTTCGTCAGCTTCTCTGCTACAGCATTCCTACGTCAATTTTTCCCGCAAAGACAAACACTCAACAAGTCATCTTTTCTTACACAAAATCAAGGGATATTGTCTTATTTTCCATACTTAGTCATCTCAAAGCACTTAATCATAAATATACAATATTTAGCTCAATTATCATGCAAAGAGGTCAACTTATATGGAATTTATGCAACAAATTCATCATAAAAATACTAAATTAACTCTCATTTGGGAGAGTTATCACACTCCAAACTCAAAACGTTGCTCGTCCTCGAGTAACAAAGAAGAAAATGATTAATTGTCCTGCATAAATTCAACAGCATAATTGCAGCAATGACTATTATTGAGATGAGCAGTTCTGATGTAGCATTCCAACAACAATGTACACGTGAGAGTTGCTTTTCAACCTTGGCTTACACTTCAACTTTGGGATCTTTGTCAGCTTCTCTTCTCTTGGCTTCTAGCTTCTGGAGTATTGAGTATGTATGTGTGAATAACTTCCTTGTTGGCTTGATCCACTTGAGAGCATCAAGCTAAGAATCATAAGACTTAGTTACTGTATCCATACTTTGCCAAATTTGAATCAAATCTTATGTGTACAGAGTTGAAGGAACGAGTGTCCACCTCGCTTGCTTTTCTTTTGACTTTGGCTCCCTCTTTTATTTTTGTGAGCTTTGCTCATGTGCATTGGCACTTATTTTATTTTTGTCTTTTTGACTTTGATTTTTCTTTTTGTGAGGGGCTTTCTTTTCACTTGTTCTTTTGCACTTGTTTTAGCTCGGCTTCTTTCACCCTTATAGCCTTCAAGACTTACTCATATGGTAAGATTCAAATCCATCAAACCTTGAATCCTAAGTCCTCATCCGCAATCAACTCTTTCGGCTTCTCTTACTTTCAAGTTCATTCTTTGTGCTTCATGTTCAATCACTCCATTTGCTTTCTGCTTTGATCATATCAGCCTCCAATTCACGACTCCATTGCTTTGCAAGTTCAAGTTGAAAAACACTTACTCTCACTCATCGTAACTACTGTTGTCCTGCTACAGCAAAAAAAATCATAACAACATAGCTAAAGATGCACTCTGTTTCACCTTATTTATGCAACATTAATTTCTAACTTCTTGTTACTCTTTATTTTCCAACTCTTTTTCTCATTTTCATGCTGTAACATATACCTAACTTCTTTATTCACACAAACAGAAATTTAAATTTATCGAATTTAAAATCTATTGACTAGCAAACATGTTCCTCTTTTTCATTAACTTCATAAGTGATGCAGGGGATTACATATAGCAAAAAGAGAAGAAAAAGAAAAGAATAAGACAACCTGGGTTTTTCTTCATTTTTAATCAAAACAGAGGGAAGTTCTGATCTCAGTCTTTGTCTTCTTATTGGTCCAAAGGGGTTATCTTCCATGTTTTCATCTTTTTGCTTAACCTCCTCTCCCATTTCTTCATCTTTGCCTTGATTTTTCCACTTTGGGTGCTTGGTGTCTCCATTGTTGCCACTCCAAACTCAGTTTGGTTGCCTCGAGTGAAAGAAAGAAAAATAGGGTTGGGGGACTCCAAACTCAAGCCCTTGCTATGGCTTGAGTGTTTGGGGGACTCCAAACTCAAGCCTTTGCTGTGGCTTGAGTTCTTCTCTTTTGGTCATCAGTACCCTTTTCTCCCTGCAAAACATCTTAAATAAAATTAAAAAGAAACATGAATACTAACTTATCCTAATCCTAATAATTGAAAATACGAAAAAAATTACAAGAATTTAAAATACTGAAATTAGATTGCATAATTTTAAAAACTTCCTAATTGAACTTTGGGCTGCCTCCCAAAAGCGCTTGTTTTATAGTCTTCAGCCTGACTTGGATTGATGATCAAGGAGGCTTGAAACAAAGAGAGAAGAACAACTTTGATTCTTCGATCCAACTCTTCTCGCATGTAGACTCCTTCATCCTGACCTTGGGCTTGCTTCCAACCCTTAATGATTGAGGAACATCGAGGTTTGTTATTCCATCTTCCGTATATTCAATGGTATGCACCTGATCTCCATCCATCTTTAAAATTAAATCACTTTTCCACATGTCTACCATAACTTTTTGGGTATCAAAGAATGATTCCTCGAGAAATTGAGAAATAGTAGGGTCCTCCTTTATGTCAAGCATCACAAAATCTACTTGGTGTGCAAATTTGCCTATCTTGACATTCATATTTTCAACAATGCCAATTGATGCTTTGATGGAGCGATTAGGTAAATGCAGAGTCATCTTTGCAGACCTTATGTTCCTTATTCCCATCTTTTCTAGTAGAGTCATAGGCCTCAATTTCACCTTAGCCTCAAGATCACTCAAGGTTTGCTCTTTTTGCATGGCATCTTGTTGCTTTTGTAGCCTTTGAGGTAAAGGAGATGGTGGTATAATTGTTTTGCTGACGGTCTGACCCTGCTGTAGTTTTGTTGTAGCAGTACTCTCAGTCCCAGCAATTTGAGGTTTTTCGGGTTGATAATAAATTTCCACCTCTTTTGCAGCTTTATCTCCTTCATTCTGATTTAAAACCTTCTGCTTCTGCTCATGGTAATTCTTTATAACTTATGGTTCATCTACAGCTTCACCACCTAATATTGCTATAGCATTGACATGTTCTTCTCCATTCTTTATTTCAATGGCCTTGATGTGCTCCTCTTCGTTTCTCCTAGGATACTCTGTGCTGCTAGGCAGTGTGTCATATTGTCTGACATTGATTGCTTCTGCCAATTGTCCCATCCGAGTTTCCAAGTTTTTGATAGATGCAGTTTGATTTTGGATAAGGGCATCACTTTTTGCCATAAAGTTTTTCAGCATGCTTTCCAGCGTATTTGATGTATCAACTTGCTGTTTGGATTGATGCTGCTGCTGCATAAATTCAGAAGGGTATGAAATTCTATTTGAATGTGTTGTTGTAGCAGAGAATTCTTGTTGTTGTCCTTGTGAATATAAAAGAATTGAGTTGCTCCTCCATCCTTGATTGTAGGTGTTTAAATATGGATTGTTCATGTTATAGCTTCCTACAAAACAAACAGATCGAGGATTTTTTGTACAGTTATCATAAACATGAGGAACATTACAGAAAACACATGATATAGCATTGGTTATGGCATGCACTTGATGTGCTCTAACATCGGCAGACAGGTTGAATGACTTGATTGTATCATTCAAAGATGAAATATGTTCTGCCAACACTGATACATCATTATGCTTCAGCATTCCAACAGCCTTCTTTGGTGTATTCATTCTTTCCGTTGGCCACTGGTAGTTGCTAAGTGTCATCCTCTCTAGGATTTCATATGCTTCAGTGAATGTCCTAGCTAAGAGAGCTCCTCCGGCTGATGCATCAACTACACCCCTTGTTTGATCGTTAAAACCATTGTAAAAAGTCTCCATTTGTACCCATTCTGGTATACCATGATTAGGGCATTTCCACAGCAATTCCTTGAATCTGTCCCATGCTTTATAAGGTGTCTCACCATCATATTGCTGGAACGTTGCTATATCATTCCTTAACAGAATTGCTTTTGTGTGAGGAAAGAATTTCATCAAGAACTTTTCAGCCATGTCTTCCCATCTACGAATGGAATTAGGTTGTAGTGTGTTCGACCATGCCTTAGCTCCATTGGTGAGAGAGAAGGGAAATAAATTCATCTTTAATGTATTCGATGTAACTCCTTGTATCTTGAAGCTATCTGCTACCTCCATGAAATTTTTGAAGTGGAGAAGTGGATCTTCACTAGGCATCCCATTGAATAGGCCAATTGTTTCCAGCAAGTCAAACATGACCGGTTTCAATTCAAAATTTCCTGCTGCAATTTCTGGTTGAACAATTGGAGAATGAAGGTTCTTGAGTGCTAGGATTCTTTGTGCGCTGATTGATATCTCAGACTGAATTGGCTCTTCATTGCTAGCTCTTACTCCTGCCATATCAGGTAATGTTGTAGCGTTGCTACGTCTTTGCTGTCTCCTTCAAGCTTGCAATGTCCTTTCAGTTTCAAGGTTAAAGTTCACTTCTTGCTTGGATGGAGAACTGCTCAAACGCTGCAATTAACACTTGAAAACAGAAAAGAAGAAAGGTGAAAGAAAAGATAGAAAGAAGACATAATTTCTTCACTTAAATAAAAAGCTTTAAAGAAATCATCCCCGGCAACGGCGCCAAAAACTTGTTATGCAAATTGCAATCAATTAAATCAATCACACAAATACGCAAGTGCACGTGTCACAAGTAATAAAGGGATGTGTGAGTCCAAGTATCGTCCCACGGAGATGAGTTATAAAGCAATGATTATTTAAGTAAAGAAAATAGATAAAAGATTAATTTTTGATGGTTGGGTTTATAGAATAAAAGACAATTGAAATTAAGAAAACTAGTAAACTAAAATAATAGGTATTAAGTTGATGGATGAGATATAGGTCAGGATCAATTTCCCTGATACAACAATACTGAAACGATGCTTTAACAATGCTATATCAATGTTTAACTAGTAACCGAACACTAAAGTATGCTGGGGCTTTTGGCCACCTAACATATATACCCAATAACTAATTCCCACATCTCTATGGCCAAACTAATCACTGAATTGTTCAAGTTCAAGTTCAAGGCTATGTGGTGTGAATGATCTCTCTACCCACAACTTAATCAAGATAATTTTCTTAACCTAATTAATCCACACAATTCAACAAGGGTCTGGATTTGGAAACCACTCGGCCCCAACCTCCTCAATATCACATATGTATCTCTCGACATGCACACATGAATAAGATTAAGCAAACTCGTTGAATAACTAATTAAACATTAACATAAACAAAGTTTAGGCATACATCTCAATGTTACAGCATAGGTAAGACTTTATCTCCTAACCTATAGAGAAAATTAGCTCATAATGGAATTAAATTAAACAGAGAAAAGAAAGAAAGAACTCATTGGAAAACAGAAAAAAAGATGAAAACGAATGTTGTAGGAAAACGTCGTCACTGCCTTGCTCCAGCAGCTCTTCCTCCTCCAAGAACCTTACTTTCTCTCTCTAAAACGTGGGAGGGGTACTACATTCTTCCCCTTCCTTCTTTCTTGCCTTTCTGACCTATCTCTCGCTTGTTGAATCCGTGGGGGAACTCCTCTTTAAATAGGAAAAGTGGTTGGATAATTAGGCTTTAGGGTTAGGAGTGAAAATCCAAGAATCTTGTTGCTGCAGCCTTATCGTATCCCTAGATTCTTGGGTTGTTGGCACTTGTTGGATAAAATCTTGATCTTCTTGGAATCCTTGTGCCAATGTTGTTGTTGACCGAATAGGAGCTGAGTTTGTTGTCCTTGTTCCTTGGGATTTTCGGATTTGTTAGCACTTATTTGGATAAGATCTTTATCTTCTTGGATTTCTTGTGCCAATGTTGTTGACCGAACCAAGTTTGTTGTCCTTGTTCTTTGGGATTTTCGGATTTGATTCAATCTTTGAATTTGCCTTTGACCCTTGTGATTTCTGGATTAAATCTTCAGAAACTTCCTTTGCTTGCTGGTGTATGGTTGGAGAATAACTAACTTTTGAATTTCAAAAGTTCGGTTGTTCTTTTGTCCACACTGTCATGTTGTAGAGCTTGATATATCATTACTTCGTCAGCTTCTCTGCTACAGCATTCCTACGTCAATTTTTCCTGCAAAGACAAACACTCAACAAGTCATCTTTTCTTACACAAAATCAAGGGATATTGTCTTATTTTTCATACTTAGTCATCTCAAAGAACTTAATCATAAATATACAATATTTAGCTCAATTATCATGCAAAGAGGTCAACTTATATGGAATTTATGCAAAAAATTCATCATTAAAATACTAAATTAACTCTCATTTGGGAGAGTTATCATATTTTACAATCAATCAAACACATACTCGGTAAAATTAACCATAAATTCTCGGGAAAATTTTAGCCTACCAAACACCTTTTAGTAACATTCCAGCAAAAATATATTTCCCACTACATTCCGTTAATAATTATTTTTCGGATAAAAAAAAAAAAATCTCCTCTACCAAATGCCCCTTTCGTCTTTTGTTTTGGGCAAATTTAGCTAAGGTGTGTAATTCCTATTAATTTGTTTCTCCGCAGTTTCTACTTTTTTATCTACCAGAAAAAAAGATATTGACAGTAGCCATCACACTTGGGCTTTTTGACCCTTATAACCCTTTATTAATAATTAATTATCAAATTGACCTTCATTACAAACTATTTCAAAAATTTAACGCCTTCAAAAAACATAACATCAGTCTGCCCCTGTTTGACCGTTGACCACCAAGCCTACCCGGGTACACCACTCCCTACCCGGGTATTTTTTGAAATTTTTTGCCTACCCGGGTAGGTAGTGGTGTACCCAGGTATTGTTCTTCGCACCTGGAAAATTGCTTGAATTATTTACCCGGGTAGAGAGGAGTGTACCCGGGTAAATCTCCACATCTTCATCTTCGTCTACGAGTTGGGATACTAACAATTGTTTATGAATTTTTGCCAAGGGATATTACAGAGTTCAGTACATTTGGATGAATCTTAGTAATTTTTCAACTACAAACAACAAATAAGTACCAAAAGCTATGGCAGAATACAAAAATAGGCATTCCCTGTAGCACTAGCCAAATGCAAACCCAGAACAAGTTCTCTTCTTTAACAAATTTTGGAATCCATTAAAGACAAAAGCAGAGAAGCAAAACAGCAACATAAAAAATAAAAAAATGGAAACGAACCGGTTCTAGAAAGAAATTATCAAGCCAATAATTAATACAAATTAGAAAAATTTACAGAAGCAGAAATAGTGGCTGGGAAAAACCGAGATTTGGGTCTGAAAATAGAAGAAAAGATAGAAGAATCTCAAACACTTGAGGAACCATTAAAGACCTCGTACTACCTTACAAGATCATTACCAGAAAAAATAAATAAATTTTTAAATTAAAACTTTTAAGTAAATAACAATTCAGTCAAAATCAAAGGTGACACCAAAACAGGAACAACACCAAAATTAGTATTTTTAAGAACAGCAGTTGAGAGAGAGAGAAAGAAAGAGAAGCAGAAAAGACCAACCTGATTTCTATGAGACAAAAGCAAACCCACTTAAGAGAGAGAGATTGAAGAAGACGAAGATGAAGATGTGGAGATTTACCCGGGTACACTCCTCCCTACCCGGGTAAATAATTCAAGCAATTTTTCAGGTGCGAAGAACAATACACGGGTACACCACTACTACCCGGGTAGGCAAAAATTTCAAAAAATACCCGGATAGGGAGTGGTGTACCCGAGCTTGGTGGTCAACGGTCAAACAGGAGTAGATTAGTGTTATGTTTTTTGAAGGGGTTAAATTTTTGAAATAGTTTGTAATGAAGGTCAATTTGGTAATTAATTATTAATAAATGGTTATAAGCTATGAAGCACCGACACTTCAAAAACCCTGACGTGTCGTGTCCGACACTTCCCGACACTCTCGGACACTCCGACACTTCCCGACACTCCAACACGCGTTATAGAAATTCAAAAAGAAGTTCAAATGTTACGTTGCGTTGAGTTTTGAGTTCCAACTATTAGATTCGTTGGATTACGATTACCATTTTATTGAGTTTAATATAAATATTTGGGATATTTTATGTTTCTTGGCAAAATTTATGAATATTATAAGTTTAGATTCATTTTTTTGTTAAATTATTGAATATTAAATATAATACTACTGCATAAATTAAAAATATTATTTAATATCAAAATGTGTCCTAACGTGTCAAAATCTAACTTTTTTTAGAATTAACGTGTCAGAGTATCGTGTCGTATCGTGTCACGTGTCCCATGTCACTATCGGTGCTACATAGGTTATAAGGGTCAAAAAGCCATCACACTTGACATAAAGATCAAGTTTCAGTTTTAAAGTGCGAAACTATTTTTTTATTAGTGTTAATATTGTTAGTGTTTGGGTGTCCTAGAGACAATCTTATGATTAAATAAGGACATAGATGTAGACTTTTTTAATATTGTCGCAAATAAATAAAAGCACTCTTTATCTTGTTTCATAATTCTGTCTCGATATTAATGTTAATATATTATGAATAACTTGATAAACCCCGTGGAATAAAATAGGTATCTCTTGAGTATCTGTGATGAGATCACAATCATGAGGATTCAAGAATACCGGATGTTTATTCCTAATTTTATGTTCCTAGTCTAGAGATACTGAGAATGGGGTCAGTAATCTCGGGTAAGACTAGCACGACTTATCTACTTGTATATGGATACAAGGTATAGACCTCATGTGCTACAGATATGGAGAAGTCTTAGCTAAAGTCGTGGGTGGACCTATAAGGGTATAGCTCGCACTGAACAAACCCACAAAGAGACTCTATGAGGAACTCTCACAGAAAGTATCATTAGAGTAGTCTCTTTATATTTGGGTATGTCTTTCCTAAGTCCAGAAGTTATTACCTAGACTGTGTTCTAGAAGGCATGCTTTGATTGTGCACCTCGTCTGCCTGAAACATGGAGACTCATAGGTATACTGTTGGGCTTGTCCTGAAAGAACACAAGGCTAGGGTGATAAGCTGAAGGAATTCGTCAAATCTCTGTGAGAAATTAGGTTATCTGTAAACCGGAGAAATCAGGATGACAATTACAGGGACTCGGGAATCTATGCATAGTAAAAGAGATCATGAGATGATCTGCCTTTAGAGTCTGTAAATTGAAGATTCCCTATTTCGAATAAAGCTTACCCTAAACCGCAGGGGTTGATACGCTTCCTTACCCTAGGTTTTATGGGAAGGTAACCGAGACGAAAGGAAATATATACGGCAACCAAATATGTACAATAGGATGATCAAGTCACTAATCTAACTAGTTCTGGGGCAACAAAGCATTGCTAGTGCTCTGTGTTGTCATTAGATGGGTTGTGGGCTTATTAGGCCCAAGCCCATTTATGTCAGTGGCTATGTTGGACCTAATGGGTCACACACTAACACCTAATTGTCTAGATGCTCTAGCATTAATGGTATTGGGCATAACAATTGTTATTAGCCTAAGAAGTAGTTTGGAACTCCACAGATAGGGTGGAGGGCGCATGGATCTAAGTAATGGGCTTGGATAGTCCAAGACATTACTAATTAATTTAATTAGTTAAATTAATTATCAAATGTTTAAATTTTGAATTTTGAATTTGAAATTTGAAATTTGAATTTTGAAATTTGAATTTGAATTTGAATTTGAATTTGAATTTTGAAATTTGAAATTTGAAATTTGAATTTTGAAATTTGAATTTGAATTTAGAATTTGAATTTGAATTTAAAATTTAAGTGTTTGAAAGTTTGAATATAAATGTTTGAAATTCGAATTTGAATTGGCTATGAAAAGTTGTTTCATAACAAAAGGATAAGATGAAATCTTGTTGGAACATATCAAGAGTTAATCTTTTGGACATAATCTAAGAAGATTTGGTGGGCTATTTGACCCTTTTGCCCCTTATTAATTAATTAATAACCATTTTGCCCCTGATTCGAAACTATCTATCAATCTGCCCCTCTTTAATCGACTACTTTGCATGTTTAATCGACTAAATGGTTGTTGGAAGATTTAATCGACTAAATCTCCCTACTTAATCGATTAAAATCATACTGGCTACTCTCTTTTTTTTGTCAAATATGGAGATTTAGTCGACTAAATAGGGAGATTTAGTCGACTAAATCTCCCAACAGCCATTTTTTGTCTGTTTTGGCCATTTAGTCGATTAAAAATGCAAGGTAGTCGATTAAAGAGGGGCAGATTGATAAATAGTTTCGAATCAGGGGCAAAATAGTTATTAATTAATTAATAAGGGGTAAAAGGGTGAAAAAGCCAGATTTGGGGTGCTGATTTGGCTGTTGGTTAGTCATCAGAGTCAGCTCCAGAAAATATGATCTGTTGGGAGAATATTTGAGTGATTTGATTCAAGTTTGAATGCAACTACTCAAATGTATCTGGTCATTATTTAGGCTATATGGGGCGCACCATATAACTGATTATACGATGATTTATGATCAGATATTTGATTAGGTTTTGAACCTAATATATCATAAAGATATGATAGGAAGTTGTTGGTAAGATTTGATGAGATTTGATTTGCAACAAATCCTATTCTCTCTCTCTTTGATGGAGCGCCCTTTTGGAAAGGATTTTTATTGATTAAAAAATCTGATTTGTTTTCAACAAATAGGCTCCTCTAGTGCGCCTCTATATATATATGTTCCTTCTAGGGCTTTTAGAAAACCAACCAAGCCATTCTCTTCTCCTCTCCTGCGCCACTTTTGTGAAGATTTCACATTGAAAGCTTCACTCTTTCAAACACCCTTACCTAGCCTTTCTCTTCACACAGTGTGCGCTTAGCAAGCCTCATTGTAGTGATCACTTGGCGGTTTCACAAGAAGGAGTTCTTGCTCCTAGACGCAGTGGGTGGTGTGGATCAACGTTAGAGGGTCTGAACCCTTCAGACCTACCTTGATCATCACGAGTTTTCACGAACAAGGTAACATCATGCTTTACTAAAGCATGATCTTGAATGCATGTGTGTTCCGCAATGAAAAAGTTTTGTTTTTCCCTCCAGCATGCATCGGTCTTCAAGGCCATTTCCAACTTTCAAATATGATATTGGGCTTACGAGAGAAAAACAAAAGAAAAATAACGTAATAATTAAAAAATTGGCGTTAATATATTCAAATGTTGATTTATCTATAAATTAATGAATAAATGTATTAATGCGATTTTTTACATTTAAAAATTGTAACAATTAAAAAGGTATGATTTTTTCTTAAAATTTTTGTATATATGATATTAAAATAAATAAATTTTTTACAAAAAAAATTGAATAAATGAGTAAAATCTATAGCTTTAAAATCATTGACATTGCAAATAATCGGATTAGGATTTTTTTATCACAATTAAATATTTTTACTTATTGATTCTAAGATAAAAGAAAAATATATATAATTTTTTAAAAAATAATTATAATCAAATAATATAATCATATAATTATTTTTTTCACCTAGGAAAATTCAAATCGCAAATAAGCAAAGAGTACTCCAGTTTTAATATGTGGATGGTGACAAAATCAACATGTGCACTAAAATCTACACATAAGGACAACAAACCCTTACCCCACTTGGCCCCACCCTTCTTGATATCTGTGCCTTAGAACAAAATTAAGGATGCTAAACAGCCTAAACTCTTCTTACATACCCCATTTAAAATCAAATATTTAGGAATAGAAAAAGTAAAAGTGTAATGACTAAAAAAATAAAGAAAGTGAAAAACCTTCTCATAATTTTTTCCAAAAGCCAATAATTAATTATACATGAAAAAAATTGGCTAAAAAGGGATAAAATAAAATTGAGAATCTCAACAAATTCAAAACCATTACATAAGTGGTGGCTAGAGTGACGTAACCAATCAACTGGAACGCAGAAAATCAGAAAGGAACTTCTCTCTTTTTTAATATTAACATTGAGTCATCGTCAGCTTTACTACATTGAGCATTAGCATCCTCTTTCTAACACTCTCTCTCTCTTGAGTTTCATTAAAACAAAAAAACAAAAAAAAAAAAAACACTTATACACACCAACGGACATATTATTTTGGGAAACATTTTAGGAGATTGTTTTTTTTATGCAACTGAGAGAAAAAAATAATTTCTTACATAAACACATTGAAAAGAGAAGAGAGAGAACAATAAAGAGAGAAAAAAATTTATGATGGGATCGGGACCACCAAATAATGTATTTTCTGAAATAATTATCTTTTTTCTGTAAAATGAAAAAAGATTCCCCTACATTTTATTATATCATTTCATTAATTTATTATTCCAAAAATATAAATTATTAGGTGAATATCAATAAACAATTTTTTATTTTATATTATATTTTCAACACCCCACAAGTTCTTTTTTATACAAAAGTTCATTGAACTTATAAAAGTGACACTTTGATATCATGTTAAATATTTAATTATAAAAAAAATTTAAATTATTTGATAAGGAAAAGTGAATCATTTTATATTTTATAAATTATGAATTAACCTAGTTTTACTCTTTATCCTATTACTTTTTTCTTTCGCTTTTCATCACCATTAATTTATTTAAAAATAATCAAGATCATCTTATATAAATCATATTATTTATGATAGAATCCATTCCCTATTAATATTTTGCCCACATTTATATTCCGGTCCCCACTTTTTCTTTAAAGTGTCATATGTTAAAAGAAAAATGTACTTTTATAATATTATTTCCATATACATAAATTTTAACATTAAATGAATCTAAATCTACTTACTAAAACAACTTACACTCTTTTTATTAAGATTTTTATTAATCTTATATTATAGAAAAGTAATTCTCTCTTACCATAAATATAATTATAGGTAAGATCCATTTATTTATAAAAAAAAATTAAATTACACAAATATCAATGAATATATAAAAAAGAGAATTACTCTCCACATGAGAATAATTTTTTTTAAAAATAAAACACACATTAATAATACAATACGAGTACTATGCAAACAAGCATTTAATTAAAAAATAAAAATAAAAAACCACTCAACACAAGGAAGAGGCAAGAGAGTAGCTAAAGCCAAAGCCTTTGCTATTCCAAACACTGCCTCTACTCTCTCTCTCTCTCTGTGTCTCTCGCTCCTCTTGTCTAATGATTCATTCCAAAACCCTATTCACTTTGTTACCATTTCTGGGTCTACGCATTTTATTTTTATTTTTGTAAAAAAGCAATTTCTGAGCATTGATTAAATGTACTTTTGTTCATATCCATTTTTCTGAAATGGGGTACTCTTAAAAATATCTGATCACATTTTTCTTCTACAAATTTTGCATTTTTTTTTTCTGGGGTGCTGAGGAACAAGAGAATCTCTTGGATTCCTTGAATTTCCTTTTTGGTCTCAAAATATCTTTTTTTTTTTTTTAGGAGTTTAAGTATTGCAAATTGTTGAGGTTTTTTTGAGGGGTGGCTTTGATTTCCATGGCTGCGGTTGCTGAGATTTCCGCTGATGCCAACAAAATGGACTCAAAACCAAAGCAAGAATCTGAATTCAGTGTGCAGAAGCTGGTTGATATGTTCACAAAGTTGAATCCTTTGGCGAAGGAGTTTTTTCCTGCAACATATTCTCCCAATCATCATGATCATCTTCATCGCCATCTGGGCTATAATCAGTTCTCACCCACTAATTTTCTGGTCAACACTAAGCCCACAGCTGATGACAATTTCCCAAACAATCGAAGGGTATGATTGTTTTTCCCCTTGATCTCTCATTTAGATAGCTTTCTTGATTTTTTTTCTGCTAGTTTTTAGTGATGGGTTTTGCTTAGTTCTTCCTTACTCAGCTTGATTGTGCTTGTAATGCAGGGAAAGTAGGGACTTTTGTGTGTTGCATCTTCTCTTGATATTTATATTTATGAATTTTTCGTGCAAAAATTTATTACTTGACATGAAAATTTCTGCCTCAGTTTTTTCTTCTTCTTGTAATGGTGGTAAACATAGAAATTTTATTCAATCCGGAGAAAGAATGTGTAAGGGAAACCAAGCATCAAGAAATGCGGACCTAGAAAAAATAAAAATAAAAATAAAAGACACATATGGAAAAATCCAACTGCACCATCTGAAAGAAAGGGCATCATAGCAGAATGTAAATCTAGCCTTAGAATATATTATCCAACTATCCAAGTACTCAATGAAGTGACAATTTTTTGGTCTTTAAATTGTAAATTGGCATGAATTGATTGAGTCGCTGGTATTTGATCATAGTTATTTGCGTCCTATATGGATTTTGTTTTTCCATGTTATAATTTTGTAATTTATGTGTATTAAATTCATGAGAGAAGACGAGCATGGAGTAGTGGTAAAGCTGCTCTTTTGTGATTGTACGAACAGGAAATGACGTATTTGCAAAAAATGCATGGGTAATGTTGTGTACAAGGCTTTTCTCATCCTTATCTTGGCACGTCGGGGTTTCATGGGGAGTTGTTTTTGTTTTATTATGCATTTTGAATTCCTGGTTTAAATTTACAGTTTGCAATGGCAATTGCTGCTGCAATATTGCAGTTTGGGATGTCTTCGCGACCATAACTAGCATTTACCTACAATTTTGGTAATTGCAACACAACAGTAATGGCAAGCTTAATATAAAACCATCATTGCATTTGTGATTATTTTGTTTTCGTGGGAAAACATTTGTTTTTCTCTTTTCATTTTACTTTACAGTTTAGAATATCTTTCCTCATATTGCATGATTGCATTGATGGGCCTATAACTATGTTATATGAAGATTGCAGTTTCTGTTTAAATGATAATGCTGATATCATTGAGGTAGCATTTTACAAGGTAATCATGACATCATCATTCTTTTTTCGTGCATACTGAAATTTTGTGCTTTTGTCATCTTGCAGAGAAGAAATAATTTTAACCAGGGGAGGAGAAGGTTGAATGGAAAAACACTTAAGGCTCAGAGAGAAGATAGCATTAGGAGAACAGTATATGTTTCTGATATTGATCAGCATGTATGTGAAGTGAGAATGGCTTGAATAAAATTTTATCTTGATGTAGTTTGCTTAGTGTTCTATTCGGATCATTGAAAACACCATTATATAAGCAGTCTTTTGTCTTGGTGTAGGTTACTGAGGAGCGGCTTGCAGCCTTATTCAGCACTTGTGGACAAGTAAGTTATGAGTCTTGATTGATAGCATGGTTAGTCTTTTTTTTTTTTTTATCAATTAGGTGGATATTATTACATTGCTTAATAATTTTAAACTAGGGTATTTGATTGCAGTATTTCAATTGCTTCTGGAAAGTTTTGTTCTATGATTGTCACTATTATCTTTTCTGTGGTTAATCACCTAGCTTTATTAACATTTATTTTTAAGCGTTGCAAATCCTATGTTGCTGGATTATGTTCCCCCCTTCCACTTGTTCCATATGCTAAGCATGGCTAAAATGTCCCTATTCTGATACTTTGGTTTTGTGGAATTGCGGCTCTTTCTATCACACAGTTGGCTTTATGCCTCTTAATGCAGCATGGCTGAGACCCATTACTTGAAATGAACTGTTCACTCCATTTTATACATGATTATCACTATTGTTTTCTTCCGTCAGCTATGCAAAGCATTCCTTTCTTTCTTTCTCGTGTTTTGATATATGCTTATTCTTGAGTATGCTAATCTGGGTTAGTTTTGAGATTTTGGATGCTGCTTAAAATGTTTCTGATTTAAACTCATTGAATTCTTCTGAACCTTATATAGAAGGATCATAGAACTGATATGAAGTTTATACCTTTTCGATACATATCTGGTTGTATTTGGAAAATATTTCATTGGCTAACATAAGGATCTAGAAATCAAATTTATATGTGAAATTAGCTGCAGTAAATGGTACAGATGTACATTCACTGAATATATATATATATATATTATATATAATTAATTTATCATATGAGCTATAAATCTCAATCCTTAATTATTTATTGCTATCATCTGAAGGAATCTTAGTTATTTATTGCTTTCATTAACCTTCTTAATCTGAGCATGATTCCTTTAAGTTTGTCCTCATATATTTTTTTTTTGTTAATTAGAATTCCATCACATGGAAGATAGTCCGATTAAAAGTAGAGGTAGACTGAAGAAAACTTTGGTCTTTGATAGAGCCCATTGGTTTTGATGATCCACATTAGAGTAGTTATAGCGTGCTATAATGATGCTATAGTGGCATCGCATGGCCTGGCCGCGACAAAAGTAGCGTTGCGTCGCGTTTTTTTTGCAGTGATGAGAGCGGCCTGAAACGAGGGCAGGTAGTGGACAAACCATGGTTGTCATGTTACTATGGTTGACAGACAATTAAATCCCTGTTTTGACCCCATTTTGTCTGACTGCCCTTCAGATTTTAAGGTGATTTTTGAAATTCCATACTTTTGCCCCCATTTGTATGAAAATAGTGTTCAAAAACCATCATTCTTTGAAGAATGATGGATTAAGTTGCTTCATTGAGAGGCATTTTCTGGTGAAGCTCTTGCTTTTCCAGTAATCCGACATGTTTTTGGGCAGCTCCAACATGTTTTCTAGCAGCTCCTAAACCTCTGTTGAGTCTACTTCTTCTTTCAGACCCTGTTCATAGTTCATACTCGCAAGTTTACTTCTCTTTATTTTTATTTTTTTTGCTGCAATGTCTTCCATGATTCCATCTTGTGTTTCTTTTGCCGAGACACATCCTCTGTTCTGTCGCTTCTTGCTGTTGATTATTAATTCCAGCCTCTTTATGGTGTAGCCACGGCATCATCTCAGTTACAACAAGCCCAACAGAGCACCTCAGCCTCTGTTTCAGCCTCAGTCTCTTTTTTTTTTTTTTTTTTTGTATTATTGACTTATTAATTATGCCTTTAGATTGATGGTAATTGTATGTCTAGACTATGACTTTTGATTATTAATGATGACTTTTCTTTAATCTGGGGTAATTTTTCATTTTTGAGCATTTATTGACAACTATGTTTGACACCACCTAGTGGATAAGGCTTGGTGGTGGTTTTAGTTAAGTAGATTTTACTTTGATCATCAGTGGAATGGGTTCCATCTTTCTTGTATATTGACTAGCGTACAACCTTTTAATTTTTAATTGTAAATCGTCTTTTTTGTTTGACAAATCAATGGTCTTCACTAACAGAAGTAGTCAATTGGAAGAATTTATAAGAAATCTGAATGTAATTCCTGACCTAATATCTGATGCATTTTGTGGTACAGTAATATCTCTCCTCTTGCTGAGTGTCTAGGATTTAAATCTGAAAAGTTAAATCTTTTTATTTTAACTATCACCCTGATTAAGTAATTATGACATTTATTGCATCATTTGAATTGAAGGTAATTGATTGCCGAATTTGTGGTGATCCACATTCAGTTCTTCGTTTTGCTTTTGTCGAGTTTGCAGATGAACGTAAGTTTTTTAACTGCAAATCCAACTCTCTTTCAACTTCCCCCAAAAGACATGTGGGCACACACACAAACTATTATTTCTTCAACCCATATCATTCATTTTTCATGGAATTTGTTTCAACAGATGGTGCAAGGGCAGCTTTAAACCTTGGTGGTACTGTGCTTGGATACTATCCAGTCAGGGTCCTTCCTTCAAAAACTGCTATCCTTCCTGTGAATCCTACATTCCTCCCTAGGGTATGAATACTTTCTGATCCTTTCTCTACTTAGCTACATTTGGATTGAAAAGAAAAGGAGAGTTTTTTTAAAGTCATAGCTTAACCCTTTTGCCATGCGATAAGAGAGTTAATTTGACTGATCTTTGGTGTTTAGCTGAGGGCCTTTCTGAAGGGTTACATTACACCTACAGTTGTTCGGCATTGTTGAAAGGAGTAGATTTGAACATTTCATGTTTGCCATCTCTGTTTTGTTTTGGAGCATGATTTCTTTTATCTTCTAGTCTTCCTTTTTAGTTTTATTTTTCTCTTTTAAATGAAGATTTGCTCAAAACAAAAAACCGGCTTTACTTATTGATAATTGTGCTGTGCATTGTGTATGTGCTATTTGAGAGGTAAGTGATGTTTCAAATTCTCTACTTTATTAATTTGTTCTTTTTCTTTTGTAACTTGCAGTCGGATGATGAGCGGGAAATGTGTACCCGTACTGTCTATTGTACAAATATTGATAAAAAGGTATTTCGCCCTTTTTGGTTAAACTATTTTCAGTTTAGGAATAATTAACCAATCAATTGGTTAACAAAATTCAAAGAGTGATTAATAAGTAATCACTATGACTTAATTAGCCATTTTTAATGTGTTTACTAGGATAATTATAATTTATGACATAATGCATCAATGATTGCCATAGATAGATATTGGAGTTAAATCTCTTGACGCATTGTTAAATTTTTTCTCAAATATCTGAGTGTAGGTTTCTCAAGCTGAGGTGAAGAACTTTTTTGAATCAGCTTGTGGTGAGGTCAGACCAGAAAATAATTGTTTCATGCTATTTGCTAGAACATATTTATTTGAGAAGTTAAATGGTGGTTGATGTTTCCTTTCTATTTTACAGGTTCTGCGCTTGAGGCTTTTAGGGGACCATGTGCATTCAACTCGAATTGCTTTTGTGGAATTTGCTATGGTAAGTCTTAAGTAAACCAGTCAATGCTCTATTAATTGGCTGCGTACACTTTCATAATTCATATGAATAACTTTTTCGGCATATCTTGATTGTCTTATGGATTCTATATGCATCTATTTGCTTTTGTTCTTCTTGGCAACTATAACTATTGAAGGATTTTTGTCTTTATCATTTTTCTTTAATATTGGAATGAAAATGAATCATCGGAGGTATTTTTTTTTTAAAAAAATATATCTCTAGTAATACGCCTAGGCATTTTGAGCCCCATTGTCTTTCCGCTGGGTATTTCCTTTCAAGATATGCACCAGCATTAGTGTTAAAAGTTCTCGCAAAGTGCATTTACTTTATCTATTTTGTATTGACATTTATTGAGTCATTGATTTGTTAATTTACTTCTTACTCCCCTCTGCTCAAGTGATAGGGTAATTTATATCCAACCAATGTAATGGTCATGAATCTGCCAAACTTTCGTTTACACTTTTAGTAGTAATTTGTAAAAAAAAAAAAAAATGTTCAAGAAATTAGCTCTTTCAAACATAAGCAATTACTAAGAATTTAGTTTTCTACTTTGTAAAACATTGCTTATTGTTTTACTTTAAGTGAGGTGTATTATTATTATGTTAACTTGCACAAAAGGAACCACTATCTTGACTGGCTATATCTTTCTTCTTGAGTAGGCTGAAAGTGCAATTATTGCACTAAATTGTAGTGGGATGCCCTTGGGAACCCAGCCTATCAGGTTTGGTGCCTTTACTGGAGGACAGTTTTTGTTATGCAAGTTTCAACTAAAGTTAGTTTGATAATGTTTGAATTTCCTTCTCATTCTGTAGGGTAAGTCCTTCAAAGACTCCAGTGAGGCCAAGGGTCACTCGTCCAACATCACGTTAACTGATCAACATGGTCCAATACGTCAGATTATATTTGGTCAACTTTCCAGTTGAGACTTGTGTAGAAGGGGCAGTGAAACTCCCTTTGTTTCAGTATTTCCATCTTTTTCTGTCACAGCAGTTACTTTTTATTGCCAGAGCCTATAATGTTTTGGTAATTAAACTTTCCAGCGACCACCAGTCTTGATCTTAAAACATTTAACCTTGTTTACATTGAAGTGGTCTTGTTTCAGTTATTTCTTTATTTGGAGCGAGCACTTATCATGCTATAATTAATTAGCTTGAATCTTTAACACCCTTAAGTCATATATTGGTGTTAATTTCAGTATGTTAGCATCTAAATAGGGTAGTTATTCGTTCTAGTCAGTCACCTCGAATTGGAAAAGCTAGTTACAAGTTGAAACATGAAAAGGGTGATAAGAATGAGAAAGATTCGTTATTATAGAATGTGGTTGTGCTGCAGCCACATCTTAGTCTGTGATTCTTTGTGCTAATCATAAAAAATAATTGATAGTAAGCATGTACGATAACAGAACTTATGATTGGGTAGAATCTCTACTCATTATTGAGAATAAAGGTACATAAATCTATGGAGATTTGACTGGACCAGTGGAAATGCTGGTTTTAGAACTATTGTATGTTTGCTTGCGACGTATTGAGCAGAAGAGTGGACAGAGGAAAGGTTCCCTATAGAACGTGCATAAATATCTGAACATATAACAGCTTTTATCAATTTTGTAAGATGTTAAGCATCAATCTTTATGATGCTGGAATTGATTCTAATCTCTTGATGCTTTTTATAAACGTAAAAGATAAATGAGCTGTATTCCAAAAATAGTCAATAGATATGAAAACATGTGATGGTAAAGGTTCTTGTACTGATGTTTTTGAATTTTTGTAATTAATCTGTAAATAAAAAGGGTTATTTTGCAAATTTTTATTGATGCTGGCATGTTGCTACTAAATAAACCCGAGTCCTCTCTTAATCTTAACCAGGTTATTTTGCTGGGTCTCATGTATAATAGTAAGTATTGGTTTACTTATTAGTGTAAGAGAAAATTTAGTTTTGGATTTGAAAGGGGGATACACATTAAAATAAAATGATGTGGTAATGGTTGATGAAAAAACTAAGATAATATACTTTCTCAAGTCCATTATAATAACCTCTATCTTATAAAATATTAAACCGTTAAGTTTAGCACTAATGGTCATCAATGCCACTTGTTTTCTTTAAAGTGGCCTGAGCATCTAAATCCTTTTTGATCTACTTAATCAGTGCATTAGCTAACACTATACTACACATTGTTGCATTACACAAGTGAATTGTGTGTTGGAGACAACACTAGTCGATAGGGGTGTAAATAGGTTAGGCTAGGTTAGGCTTTGACTTAAATAGATTAGGCTTGTGTAAAAAATATTGGATCTGACCTGACCTGACCTATTAGCCTATGTAGGCCCCAAATTATAAGTCTGACATGACCTATATTTAAAAAATAAAAACATTTGTCTAGATCTGTTAGCCTGTTTAAGTCTAATTAAAATAATAACTAAAATAATATTATTTTATTATTCAAAATTATTAAAATAATAATTTTATGTATTTTATTTAAAATAAATAATATGATATAGGCCGACCTGTAAGCTTATAGGCCCGATATATACAAAAAAAGCATATGATCTATTTTTTAAAAGCCTAGGCCTATTCTGTTTTACTATTTGTAATAGGCTAAATTTGGCCTAATATAGGTTAAGTCGTAGGCCCCCTGTAGACCGGCCTAGCCCATTTACACCCCAACTGGTGAAAATGAAATTCAAATGTGAGTGGGGAGTTTCATATTAATCACAAATGTGAGTGGGGAGTTTCATATTAATCACACATGGACCAAAGTACAAAAGATCTAATACCTTAAGCTTTTATAAACATGTTTACTTCATTTATTATGATTTGTCGTTTAGCCTGTTGACGAGAAGAGTCCCTTGGAAGGATTTTTGGCTTAACGTGTCATTCTTAGCCCAATTTTGGTTAAAGACTTCCAGACTCTTCCCAACACCTGAACTAGGAAGCCTTTTCGTTTCCTTGCATCTTGGCTAACCTGTGACAACTTTGGTGAGGTGGTCAACAGCTGTTGGGACAATTCAACCCACTGGATTTCAGCTTGTGATGCATTTCAAGAGGCTGCTTCTAAGTGGCATAACAACACATTCAGTGTTCACTTGAAAAACAAACATAGAATTCATGCTAGACTTCAAGGTGTGGAGGAAGAGCTCAGTCGCAGGTTTACTTGCAAGAAGATCGTAATTGGTATCAACGTTCCAGATGCAATTGGCTTCAGTTTGGGGACAAAAGTACAGGGTTCTGTCATGCAACAACAGTTATTAGACGCAGGGCTAATAGAATTGTGTCCCTTCAAGATGACATTGGCAATTGGGAATCAGACCGAGAGGTTAAAAGATATGGTTGTGTATTTCTTCGAAAAGCTCTACACTAACGGTTTTGTTCCCAGCTTCTCGATTCCCATGATTAAGAGTTTTTCGAAAATTAACAAGATTTCATTCCTTCGGCTAGGTACTTTGCCTATTGCTAAGGAGATTCGTGGCATGTTTTTTGCCTTACACCCCTACAAATCCCCAGGCCCTGATGGCCTCTAAGCAATTTTCTTCCAAAATCAATGGCATAAAGTCGAAGCTTCCGTGTGTTCCTTGATTCGAGACATTTTTGTTGACCTTGAGAAAATTAGGTCTATTAACCAGACCTACTTATGCCTCATTCCTAAGGTAGAAAACCTAGCTTTGATGAAAAACTTTAAACCCATAATCTCTGCAACGTCATCTAAAAAGTGGTGACCAAGATTATAACTAATCGTTTGAAACCTCATATGATCTCTCTGGTTCTCCCCAACAAGTGTAGTTTCATCAAAGATAGGAATAGCTCTGAATATAGTTATTGTCCAAGAAATCTTCCATTCAATCCGCATCAAGAAAGGCATGAGAGCTCGGATGGCAATTAAGGTCGATTTAGAGAAAAGCTTATGACCATGTGAACTGGAGTTATCTTCACCATACTCTCTTCGAAGTTGGGTTTCCTTCTAAGGCCATAGAATTTATCATGGTGTTTGTCTCTACCAGCTCAATGAACATTTTATTGAATGGAAGAGCCATTAGTGACTTTCAGCCAACCAATTGTATCAGGTAAGGGGATCCACTATCTCCTTAGCTATTTGTCCTACGCATTGAGAGGCGTACCCATATCATCAACGAAGCTACCGAAAGAAAGATGTGGAAACCAGTGGTGCTGAGGAGAAATGGTCCTCTAATCTCCCATATCTTCTTTGTCGACGACTTGCTGCTCTTCGCAGAAGCTACCAAGGAGCAAGCTCAACTTATCTCCAAAATTCTGGATTGTTTCTGCTGTGCTTCTTGTAACACCCCGTGTATATCCGATTTGTTATCATGTCATTGTATTAAGCTGCGCTTAATTAAAATGCGGAAATTAACTTTTTTCCTTTTCAATTATGATGTCATTATTATTAACCAAGTTGATTACTTAATCATTTTTTCAAAACATTGCCTGTATGTAAATTGCAACAAAAGCTAACTACACTGAATAACCTCATAATATAATTAAGTGTGTATCTAGTCACGGAACTACAACACGTAGATCGGACAATATCCTGATACAATTATACAACTCAAATTTAAATAAACATAGTCAAGTCAACGTGGCATGGACAATCACCATGCTCTCTAAATAAACAGCACAATCATCAAGTCTCAAATACAATAGTCATAGTAGAAGAATCAGACATGATCATATAAGATAACTAATTCATCAAGCATATATTAGTCAGCTCAGCTCCGGCCTCTTGTCGCCCGAGGTCTCAACTCCAGAGGTACCTGAATCTGAAAATGTGCCCCAAACGTGGGGTGAGATCTCTAAAAAGAAATCTCAGTAAGACAAGGGGTCTTCAAGGATCTCTCCACCCCAAGCTCACTTACATGTGCAATATAAGTTCTAAAGCAGTTTAATAATATAAGTTCCAAAATCAGTGCAATGCAGCATATAATCATGTCATGTGTGTCAAAATCCTACTCGCCAGAGAACATGCAGGAATTACATACGTCTACAACCTACAATCAGTGCAATACATTACTTGCACCCACCCACAGAATCACCATCTTGTATGACGCTACATACTCAGGCTTACCGTCTAGGTAAAACAACACATACATATCATAAGGCACTTGCACTTAACAGCTTAATAGCATTTCAAATATCAATACATGAAAACACATCATGCATATAAACCATCCCTCCATGAGGTATGGTGAAACCAACAATGGCAAAACCGAGGACACGGAAGCTTACCTTGCAAGCTACCAATCCCAACAAGAGTCCACTCCGGGCCAAGGTCCACAAACAGCACTCTCACGGTCTGTTTATAACAGAAACAATCATTAATATTCATAGCCCAAGGTTGTACTAAGTGTTTAAGGCTTTCCAACTTGTTTTAAGTGATTTTAGGCTTTTTTTGCAGGAGGTATTCGAATACTCCTCGATGAGTATCTGAATACTCCAAGTCTCCAGAAAGTATCTGAATACTTTCACTTAAGTATTCGAATACGACAAGTTATCCAAATACTTTCCCAACAGTATTCGAATATCACTCAATATTCGAATACTTACACTAAGGTATCCGAATACTTTTCTTCCCAAAAAAGTATCCTAATACTCCTTCAAAAGTATTTGACTACCTGCTGATGAGTATTCGAATACTCCACGAAAAGTATTCGAATACTTATCAGACAGAATGCAAAAACTCGAGCTGTTTTCTGCATAAATCCATTTTTAAGGGTCCAAATGCGATTGGGAGTCAAATAACTCCATAAGCAGAAATTCATTAAGGTGTTTTAAGCACAGTTTATCAACCTTTAACTCAAATGCTCAAAGTTTCCTATTTTAGTGGCTTAATCAAGCTAAACTCATGAATATTCAAAGGTGGTGATCAATGTTTACCTTAGGACTCTTAAACTCAGAAAAAGAGAGTGACTTAGAGCTTTCAACACAACTCCAAGGTTCTGACTTTGCAAGGGCATGAAAATGCACTACAAGCTTAGACCTTTTTCTATCACAATGGCTTCTTGAAGCCTCCAATGACAAGTAAGTGGCTTCCTCAATGAGAACAACAAACTCAGCCCACAAACCACCACTCT